TTAATTTAAAAATCCCTATATTTTTAACTGCATCTCACCCTGTACATTTTATTTCATAGCAACATGCTTTCTAGCTCTCCTGAAACCATTTTGCTTACGGAAGATGTCTCAAAGGTTGTTCTTCATGTTATTAAACCACCAAGAGAAAGAAAGGCTGTAAGATGTGTGATAATAAGCACTGAGAACTATTTAACAGATCAGTTAGGTTTTGAGGACCCTCAGGGTGCTACACAAGGGTCATAGCAATAGACATTTAAAGTCAAGGGTATAAGATCTTAATTCAGGTCACCAGAGTCAAATCCTAGATATAGAATCTACTCTCTCTGTAAAGATGAGCTATTTACTTTATCACTCTATGATTCAGTTTACTTATTTGTCAAATATGGATATCTTTTCCTATCCTTGTTAGGAAAGTTAAGTGGCATATCTTGTGAAAACCTCTTAGAATCATGCTTGGCACATGATAAAGACTTGATACATGTCAGCTGTTGCTATAAGAAGAGATGACATCTAACATTTTTTTTTTGACAAACTGCTTATTGACTTACACAGTACTGTGCTATCCTTTAATCATCTCACCCATGCTATCAAGGAAATCACAAACGCATTAACTGAACAAGCAACCAGGATGGTGATACTAGAAAGTGTTTAGTCCATTCTAGTTCAAGGCTTTCACAAATGAGCACAATCAAGTCCAGAGATGTTGTCTCTTTAAACTGAAACTCCCATGTCTAATTGGAGTAATGGCAATATTAGACAGTGGGTCTCTACATTCTTAGCCCAAGCAATGGGCTGAAGAAGCCCGCAAGGCAGATTAACCTCTCTTCTTACCTGGCTAACATTTTTTTAAAAAAAATTATTTAAAGAAAGACAAAACAAAACAGAAAACAGGCAGAAATACTACATACTTTCAAAGAAAAGAAATAAACGATAATAAATCCCTAGTTGATGTACACATATTGTCTCCCTACAAATAATTGTTCAAGATACAAAAGTGGAACATATAAATGGGAATTCAATCAGGGAGACTGCAAACAGTTTTGTTTAACTATCCAACAAAAACTAAGTAATATGGCTATCAGTCCTATACACTTAGACATGTATGCATTTATCCGTATCTTCATTTATGTTGAAACCAAACAAAACTTAATAGATTAAAACCATTCTGAACAAAGATTAATAGTATTGCTGGATTTCACATCATGACACTCCGGAATCAGCACTGGGTACTGCAATGCCCCTTTTTTTCCTTCAAAGTATTTGTTCATTTCTTCATGTGTCATAAGATCAGTTCTCATAAACTGTTTATAGGTTTTACACAAGCATGAATCTTAACATGTATTTCTATCCTTTCTATATTAGAGGGAGAAACATAACAAAGCAGGACAGAACAAAATATATTCCTATAGATTCATAAAACTAAAAAGACATATAAAACTGCTGTATAAGGAGTTCTACCGTGGTTACTGTGCTGTCTCTTGTTATCATCAACAGAATTGGCTATACCATCAGATAAAGTATAATTGAACATATCAGTACATAACAGAATTAATAGAAATACAACTTTGTAGATAGTGTAGAGCTACAAAAACAGGTAGTAATCAAATCAGAATGGGTATTGTAGTGAATCATTGTCATTTTCAGTATAGCTGTCTATACTCCTCAACTTGATACCAGCAACCTAACAGTTTTGAATAAAATCTGTCAATAATAAGCAAACAAGTCAGATTTAACTAAGATCAGTCATGATACAACAGTATAAATCATACAGGGATCCAGATTAAGTTAATAGGAAATTAAAGGTGACCACTGTGCTATATCCTGATATCTTCGGGACAGCTGTCTGTGCCCTCAGATCCAGTGGTAGCATACAGCCTGGGACGGAACAAGGTTCCATCTAAGCCGAGTGGTGCAAGTAATAAGGGTTTTAATTCCTGATACACTATTAGCAATATCTTCTGCTGTCTTTTTTAAGACTATTCCTCCTCTTTCACTCCCCCAGGATGTACTGTGTATTTTTGGGTCTCCCCAACACTCTTGGGTTTATAATAGCAACCTGCTATTTACCTAAGTGTTTCCGAACTTCCTCACTCCTGAACTTGATCTCTAGTTGTATTTCTTCACTTATTAAAAACCTGTCTTTTCAACCTATCCATAAATACTGGTCCAGTTACCCCTATTGCTCTCTGGTTCCCTATCACATCGGGTTCTGTTTTCTCATATTTGATTTTTGTCCCTATACCCTTCTTCAGGTTAATTATAGTTCCTATCAAGAGCTGACATTTGACCCCACTAAGGGGACCCAGTAAGTAACATTTTTCTCTGGTGGGAGGCCCATCTTGCTGTCAGATGTCCTTTTTAGCCTCTATAGTTGGCCTACTCCCTGCAGATTCACTCCTGCAAACAGACTGCTGTGGGATTTAAGGCACTTTCCATGGTGTTGCTTGGTGGTTGCCATGCCAACAGAATTGAACAAAAATAGAGTTTTCTAGTAGATTATTCTGGTGGAGGCTTCAAAGCCAGATTATAGCTATGCCTCTGAAGCTCAAATGATGCATATGATTTGTACTGCCATGTGGTAGGAGTGCCATAATACTCGGGGAAAGATAGAATACATACATGGATTCAATTAGTTGCATTAGGAACTTGGAAGACAGTAGTAATAATGGAGAGTCGACCTGCTAATTAAAGTCAGTACTTGAGGTCAGTATGGAGCAAGTTTATTCACACCCTCCTTGGAACGTGCTGTAGCCTGGATTTTCACAATTACCTGGCACTCTGTGTGTGAATGACTTGTCAGGCTCCAAAGGTCTGTTTTTAATCTTTAGGCTGCTTATTAGCCTTGCAACCTAGGGGTTTCTAACTGCACACAGATGTTTGCCAGTGTGGCTACAAATGAGTACAAAAAGTTCCCCTATCTCACAGATGTTAAAAGATTTAATGAGATAATAAAATGCTTAGGGAGGGTGAGGTGGGAATCACATGTTCAAGAGCAGCCTGAGAAGCTTAATGATTTAGTGAGGCCCTGTTTCAAAATAAAAATGAATAAATAAAAAATGAGAAGGCTGGGGATATATATATATATAGCTCAGTGCAAAGGCCACGGGTGGTTAGACTCTTAACTGTAAAAATAAATAAATAAATAAATCAAAACCCTGCTTAGCATCATGCCTAGCCTAGAGAACCATAATAATCATGGAAATACAGCTGTTTTTCTGGGCGACAATATATGAAGTATCACGCTAACTAGTGATGGTCGAACTTTCGCATTCATAGGAATCACTCCAGGTTCGTGTTAAACTCTGGGAGGCAGAGACCCACTTCCAGGTTTCTGATGCAGAGTGCTTTGATGAGTTCAATAATAGGTATTTCTATCAGGTGACGCTCATGCTGGCGGGGGTGGGGAGCGCAAGGAGCTGGGCACTACTGAGACTTTGGGAACCACTGCTGCAAAGTGTGAGGTCCAGATGTCTGTGGATCAGACCTAAATCTCCCACAATGCACAACTCTAGACCCTGCGTGGAACCTCCCTATAATCATTTGCTAATATTTGTGACAGCCGTAGAGTGATAAAAGAACTTAGAATATCTCTATGCTTTCAATTGGCTGGGCAGTTATGGCAGGACCAGAAAAACAGAAAGTTGTCTCAGAATTAGGAGGATTCTGAGTTTAAGCTTTTCTTCTTTAAGGGTATAATTTTGCCTCTTTCTGCTACAAAAGCAGCCAAGATGACCAAGATAACATGGGCCTCCATTACGTGCACCTTTCAAAATGCATTTTTTTTTTTTTACTAAGTAAGCTAACTGTTGGAATAAATATACTTTTGACACTGAATTTTAAGGTAACATCAGCGAAATACTGACAGTATTTTCAGTGGGAGCATAGCCTAGCAAATTGTCTGTCTCTATGGATGTGTGAATGTGTATTAGTTCCTCTTCTGTTTTCTCTTTTTTACAGGCATGTAGGCCGCTTTGTTCTCGAGATTTTAAATCCCAGCGTCAGGATTTGTACAGCAGTCTGCCGAGATGGGGCTCTTAATTACACTGATGTGATGATTCGTTTGTTAAAAAACAGAAAATTAAAACCCCAAACAAAACAACAACAAAACTATTGAGCCACTTACAGTTCAATAAAATCAGCCAAAATGAGTAATAGCCACTGAGAACAGACTCCCCAAGGAGGCAAGACAAGAAATCCAACAGTAGTTTTTGTCCTGGTTTCATATTTCAGGAGTTAGACTAGGAATATCTCTTTTTTTTTTTTTCTGTCTTTTTCCTTTTTACCGGTACCAGGGATCGAACTCACGGCTGCCTGCTTGCAAGGCAGGCCCTTATGCTGCTGAGCTAAATCCCCAGCCCCTGGACTAGGAATATCTCGAAGCTAGTTTAAAACAGAACAAAAACCAATAAGCTGAGACATCAGACATCTTCAGAGGCAAAAAAAAAAAAAAAAAAAAAAAAAAAAAAAAAAAAACTTTTCTCCAGAATGAGAAATGTGCATTTCTGTGGGGAATGGGTCATCACCTCAGAGATGTTCCTACAAACTCTTTGTCTTTATTGGTTACTTCTAAACTTTATCTGCTCTATTTCTGCCTGTTATCAGAGCCTCAGGACCCTCTGCCTGGATGCTGGCTAGACTTGGTTAGTTATCTGGGGACATTAAGATGATGAGGTCCTTGTATAAAATACTTCACAGTCCTGCTAGCAGCTTTTCAAGAAGATGGTCAACCCTGATCTTCCTCATCCACATCCTTCCGGTCCCCGAAACTGCACACTGCCTAAAGCCTGCCAAGGCCTGCGGGAGCGCTGCGCGGGGTTGGCACGCTCCTCCCGGCCTCCCCGGGGACGGATCGCCGCGTCTCCCCGTGATGTCAGCGGAATCCTGAGCCGCGCCTCGCGCCGCGGCTGGCTGGCTGGCTGGGGCAGGGCGGGCGGCCTCTCGCCAGCCGGGCTGAGTCAGGGCGGCCCCCGCGTGGGTGGCATGCCCGGGGCCGCTGCGCCCGCGCCACGCTCCGCCCTAGACGCGCTCGTCCCGGCGCGGGGGTGCGGCGGGGGGCGGGAGGCGGCGGCCCGGCTCAGCCTGATTTACGGCTCTGCTGAAAACCGCTCGGTTCCCGCAGCTTCAGCAGCGGTGGCCGCGGAGCAGCTGCAACACAGCAACAAGTCGGGTAAGTGGCAGTCCTGGGCATCTGCGCCCGCGGCCCGGCTCGGGCTGTGGAGGGGTCCCGGTCTCGGCAGCACCGCGGGGACTTGGGGAAACCGGCTTCTCCTGGCCTCCTGCAGGAACTTGCGTGCGCACCACTCCACCGTGAGCCCACGGGCTGGCAGCGGCGGGCGGGGGCGGGGAGAGCCGGGACCCCAGAGGCGGGCAGGGTCACCCAGCCCGCCGGGCGCTGCCAGAGCAAATCGGAGCTTTTCCGCCAACCTTGTGTGCCGGGGTTTCCGTTGGGCCCATAAAAGCCTGCGAGCTCTGGAGCGCGTGGTTACCGGTTTACCTATCCAGAGATGCCACTGGGTTCCCACTGATCCTCCAGAATTTCCACTTCCCTTTTCTCCACCTTTTGCCAGCTCAGCGTCCCTGGACCTGCACTGGGCCAGGGTTTGCATACCAACCATCCCCAGAAAGCCAGCAGTAAACATCCCTGTGCACCACAGGAAAAGATTCCCCTCTCAGGGGCCACATGCTTATTAGCCTGGAAGCTTCACCCTTACTGAGGATCATTTGCACTTCGGCTTTTGGCTTTTGAAGAGCTTGAGGACCTGATAAGAATACTTTTAACTCTTAGACCTATCTGGGTTCCTTACAAGTGGGGCCCAAGGCAGGTTGCTGTGAAGTAGAAACTGTTTCTGGAGGAAATAGATATGTACGGCTTGCAGAATTAGCTTCTGAACAGTCATCTGTTGCTAGGGTAAAGGTAATAAATTCCTACAAAAAAACAAGAACTTTCTGTTACTAAAAGAGTTATCCTGATAGTTGTTTGGTTCAAAATTGACTATTTCTGCAGCTTGTCAAGTTAAAAGAGGATCAGAGACAAGGCAGAACACTGTATTATAATAAAATCTTGGCCATCACCCTGCTTATATTAAAGGATACTTAACCCATTGAGTCCCGAGATTTCAGTAAGGCTAGAAAATGCTATCATTATTGTTATGACTATAACACTATATATACATATATGTCGATTTATTTCATCAAACCAATAATAAAAAAGGCCAAAAAAATCAGATTAAAAATTTTTCAGCGGATGGCGTGCTTTATGTTACTGTGCTTAGCTTACGTTTTCCTATACTTGAGCAAAGATCAATGAGCCTGGTCCTTTAGGAGCTATTTTGACAATTCATGTGGATTTCCTACATTTTTTATGTGTGTAGAGCACAGTTTTGCATGTCGTGTATTAAATTTGGAAGGGCAAGGAACTGAGTTCTACTTCTGGATCGGCTTTCCTTTGTCCTTGGATTCATTCCTTTACTTGCTCATTCCAATTTTCTCATTTGCAGAGAAGGAGTGGTACCCACCTTTTGTTCTCTCTTTCTTGTTTTTTGGAGGTGGGGCCTAGGTATGGGCTGGTAAACTTTTTCTGTAGAGCCTGAGCAACAACAAATAGTTTTTGCTTTGCAGGTCGTAGTCACTGTCTCAGCTATAGTATTTATCTGACATTCAGCAAAGTTAGTAAGTGACACAGAAAGGAACGCATGTAGCTGGACTTGGCCTATGGCCTGTAGGTTTTAATTTCAGTATAAAACCCCACATAAAACATTATATGAAAATGTCATTTTAAGCCCCAGATCCACTGCCCTTATAGGCATGAGCAGTAATCATTTCAGAAGCATTTTTTAAAAGACGTGTCAATGGCCCATTTTTTTCCCCTCGCAGGACTTTTAGAGTAATGCAACAGAAGGCTTTTGAGGAAAGCAAATATCCCTGGCAGGAGTCTTTTGAAAATGTTGCTGTGTGCCTGCCATTCCGCTGCCCAAGGTGTGGAGACCATACCAGATTTAGAAGCTTGTCATCCTTGAGGGCCCATCTGGAATTCAGTCACAGCTATGAAGAAAGAACCCTGTTGACAAAATGCAGCCTCTTTCCATCCCTCAAAGACACAGATCTTGTCGTCCCTTCCTCAGAACTTCTGAAACAGGGAAAATTGCAGAGCCACAGCCATGTGGTCAAGCAGAAACCAAGTTATGTTAATTTGTATAGCATTTCTCATGGACACTCCAAGGACCAGAAGCCATTTGAGGTGGTGGCAGAGAGGCCTGTGTCCTATGTGCAGACCTACACTGCCATGGACATACGTGCAGACTCGCTGGATGGGCCACGGTCAAGTCCTGGACTTCCCACCTCTGACACCAAAGCTGCTTTTGAGGCACACGTTAGAGAAAAATTCAATCAGATGGTCGAAGCTGTGGATAGGACCATCGAGAAGAGAATTGATAAACTCACCAAAGAGTTGGCCCAGAAAACTGCAGAACTGTTGGAAGTTCGGGCAGCTTTTGTGCAGCTGACTCAGAAAAAGCAAGAAGTTCAGAGACGAGAGCGAGCTCTGAACAGACAGGTGGACGTGGCTGTGGAAATGATCGCTGCACTGAGGCAGCGGCTGACCGAGTCGGAAGAGGAACTTCTTAGGAAAGAAGAGTAAGTGGTCCCAAAACAGAGGAGGCATTGCTGTAGGAGCCCTTGCTTTGAGTTACAAGGAAATGTCAAGCAAGTTTGGTTTTATGATTTGCTGGTGCTTGGGTTGTTACATTTCTCCTTAATATGGTTAAACCAGAAAGCGCAAGGCTTTGATATTATTTACCTTTTCTAGGTGTGATCATCAGTCCAGCAACACTCATGTCAAAATATCTTAACTCCTTGTCACTTTGAAAATTGTAAGTAACAGATAGTGTTTTTAGTGAGAAGAGTAACAGATCTTATCCATGGTGGGATCCATGGTGTACGAACTTGAATTGGATGGGAATGCAGGAAGGACATTGTGAGGACATCTGTCCTCCTGTCTCCATATTACATAGTAGTCAAGAACATGAGATGCTCTCTTAGTCGAGTATAAAACTATGCTGCAGATATGCAAGTAATTTTGGCTTTTTGCCATTTTGGATGATCTAACCACATTAATGAAATGTCAGTAGTTGAGAATTCATTTAATTATAATTCGTACTTGGAAGGAGACCCAGAGGAGACTTTTTGATATAGCTGTACTGCTGTGATTTGAGCGTTTTCCTAAAGCCTTGACTACTCGCAAAGACCTGGCACTGGTTTCACATTCATACATGATCATATAAGTTTTTATTTGAAAAATCATTGTACTAGGAGAACTGTTTCCTTACCAATAAGTATAGATGTAACTCAAACTGAGAAGGTATATAGAACAATTCAGTGTATTTCCTAAATTCAGAATGACAGATTTCGTTTCAAATGGAGGCTCAGATTTTTTAGTGCCATTCTAGAGTGATTTAATTTCATTCTTTTTTTTTTTTTTTTTACCCTTTGGCACTTTTCCATCATGTGTTCTCTCTTAAACTGTAATAATTAAATCTTCTTGGGGGCTGGGGATTTAGCTCAGTGGCATAAGCGCCTTCCTTGCAAGCAGGCAGTCGTGAGTTTGATCCCCGGTACCGATAAAAAGGAAAAAGACAAAAAAATATATATATATATCTTCTTGAGAAACCCTGTGTCAGTGATGGCGAACCTTATAGCGTGCATGCTGTGGCCGTCTTTTTTGTATCTTTGAAAGTGCTAAAAGATTCGCCATCACAGCCCTATAGATTAAAGAGCTTTTTACTTTTATTAAATATTTATATCCTACCTTGTGAGGAAACCTAGACACTTTTTGTTCATACTAGACATTTTTTAAAAATTATGTAGTTAGGATAAACTTGAATCCACTACTGATTTTTTTTTTTCTTCTAGGGCAATGATTTCTAATGAAAGAAACTTTTTGGGGGCTTCTGGTGTTTGTTGATGAGAAGTTAGTGTTTTGACTGCTTTGAACACTAAAGTAACCCATGCAATAGGGCTGGGAAATTGGAAGATGGGTTGCCCTATGTGTAGGGAAAAGTCTACATTGACTCAAAAATAGTGAATTTAAAAATCCAGAAAATTAATGTCTTACATTTATTTATTTTTATGTTTATTTTATTTTTAACATTTATGTACATATTTTTACAGTACTGGAATAGAACCAGGGTCTTTACTCTTTAAACATTTTTATTATTATTTATTTTGTTTACTTTTCAATACTAATGATTGAACCCAATGCCTTTATACTATAATACAGCTTTAAAGAAAAAGAGTATATTTTGTGTCTTGCTAAATTGCCAGGTTGGGTTGATTCTGCCATCCATCTGCTTCTTCCTTTCAGTATTTGTTAGTTATACAAATAATGAGGGTATAGGATTTGAGTTAGTAGCTGCCTGGAGTGTGGGAAGACAGGATGACAGAGGGCAGGCATGCTTAGATACAGGTTATTATCTCAAAGGTCAAGGATTTGTATGGAATGGTGGATTTGCAATTCCTTTTTTAAAAAAAAATTAAAAATACTTAATTAAAAGTTGCCCATGTATGAACCAATAATGATACTATGTTATAGTTAATCGAAGACTCACCTAAATACTAAATGAAAAACATATAAAAACTATTTAACAAGATAGAGTTGTACATGTTAAAAATTCTTCCCTTCTAAGTATACTCTACTTCATTCTTAGGAGACAGTAGTGTTAAGTTTAGTAACTATCCTTCTAGAACTTTCCTGTGTGTGTACAGCCATGAATAATTGGTATACACAGAATTGCTGTGTCTTCCCAAATGGAATCATAACACATGTTATTCTACCACTTTTATTTGAAATTCCTTTTAACAGGATATGTTTCAGGCATCTTTTGTGCACCACAAAATTACACCATTTCTTTTGAATATTCCATGGTATGGATGAATCATAATTGATTTAAACAGCTTGTTATTGATGAATACACAGTTTTGTTTTATTTCCTAGTACTAAAAATGTGCTTCAGTTAATCTTTTTGTTCATCTTTGTTTACAACTTTGTGAGCATACCTAATGGTAAATTACATGTTTGTTTGTTTTGGTTCTGGGGATCCAACCCAGGTCCTCATGTATGCCAAGCACGCACTTTCTACCACCAAGCGACACTCTCAGCCCAAATTGATTTTTATATGCAATTTTTGAGCCAAGAGAAAAAAACAGTGATATTTTTTTTAAAGCACATAGACTATTTTTGTCCAAATTGCCTTAAACTTTTAAATATGATATAAACAAAGTATTCATACTTTTAAAAACCTTCATTGTCAGTTTCTGTATTCAGGCCTCAAATAATCACTCTCTCTATGTATAAAATGGGACTGAAAGAGTGTTGTTTTCCAGGGAGGACACTGAAGCTCTTGGTCCGGGAGGGTGGCAGTGAACAGCACCCTCAGTGTCTGCAGTGCCTGGCCTCGCCCTTCCTCCCCTGCTATCTGAATGGGGGTGCGTAGCCAGCTCCCCATCTGCCACCCTCTGGATACCAGGTTGATTTGGCTGGATATGCCTGATTGTGCTGTCCATAGGCTGGAGGCCTTTCAAATAGGGGAGGCTCTCTTTGGCTAAGGAACATACCAGAAGCTAAGCTCTCTTGCTAAACACCTCTGGGGCCAGTGTGAAAGAATGTAGATTACTGTCCATTTGAAATGCACTTAAGTTTGTGGACCCATTTGAAACACAGATGGTAGAAGTGGTTTAAAAAGATGCAAGCAGCTAGTATTTAGTGTTGACATAAGATTCTCTTGTCTATGAACTTTTCCCTGAAGTTTAAAAATTCTTTCTTTCAAACTGAAATAGAAGACTGCAGGACTGCAGCTTCCCTGAGGCTTAGTATTGGTTGATCAACTTGGTTTATAGAGCCATAGACATACATTCTGTGAAGAAGGAACCCATTTGTATCAGTAATATTTTGTGCTTTGGTACCAGTATGTCTCCTTGTATTTCTGTAGAGAGGTATCTGTAGATTTTTGGAATGCAAATCCTAGAAAAATATTGCTTACTGTCATTGCAAAGTCAGTGTAACTTTAAAAGTCCTGTTGAAACAGGTATTTACTTATTGATGAAGAGTCATAGCTATTGCATAGCACTGTCTGTATCAGGTAAATCAATCCCGGCCACCTTACAATAAGATATCCTTTAACAAAATAGCATGGGTTAGAGAGTAGCTGACCTAATCTCTTGAAGTTTGAAGAAATTGAGGGCAGTAACCCAAATTTACTTACACATTCTGCCAGTAAGTTTGGAAAATGTCAACGGAGCACCTGTGACATGCCCAGCACTATTCTGGACATGGTTTTGGGACCACAAAAATCCTTGGTATTTTCCCGTAGATGCTTATACTCTGTGTAGTGAGAATGAAATATACACCTTAACCATGCCTGTGTTCAAATACAGGGTAGATTTAGATGTGCTTAACGGTGAGCCATTGTTTCAAGTTAGTAAAACCTGAGATAACAGATTTCTTCTATGTGGAGAGGCCACACTAAAGGAGTAAAGACAGAAGGTGAAATTTTCAAACATGGCCAAAAGACTGACATGGAAGGAGCAGCAGGGCTGCCTCAGACAGCCCTAAGTATACTGTGTGATCTCTGATTTTAGAACTGACAGGTACCTCCCTCCTTTAGGATGGCATATTCATTCCTTGGATGCAGGAAATAAGGCCCAGAGTAGTGGAATGACTTGCCCAAGGACAAAGATTTAGTAGCAAAGCTGAAACTGCAACAACCATATCCCTGTCTCTGTGCTGAGTGTTTTTTCCATCGGTTTGCAGTGACCTAGCCAGACTTCTGAAAATGTGATATTTGCCCAAACCATTGAGACTTATATAATATTGCATGTGGCCCATTTTGGAAGAGGCTTGCTTCTTTGCTATTTTAAGAAGCCTGCTACAGTGACATCATTTATTTTTTTGGTGTGATTAAAGAAAATGTGAGCTGGCATCAAAGGTATTGGAAGAGGGAAATGAAACAGTGGCATCATAAGCAAGGCTGTTCAGCCCATAGCTGTTAACTTCCCAAACATTTTTTAACTTAACTGCGGATCTCAAGCCCAGTCAGGGTGGGGCTCCTGTTACTGCCAGCCTTTGACTGCTCTGAGGGGCCTTTTTGGGATTCTGTCTCTCATTTCCATCCTATTGCTGTGTGAGCTACAAAATACAGAACCTGTTTCCTCTTCCTTCACCATTTGCCATGTTCCCAGATGGCAGCCCGACAGAAGACAAATAGATACTGAGAGCCTGCCGCAGGCCAGATTCTGTCCTCGGTTCTGGTCATATTGTGGTAAAGCAAATGAAACTCCTGCCTACGTGGAGCTTATAGCCTAGAAAGGAAAATGACATTGAGCAGATCATCAGAGTGGATAAAAGTCATAGAGCTATAGTTTGAGCCCGTGATGTCCATTTAGGTTTCTAGACAGAGCTGGATGTGGAATGCAGCATTGTAAGGCAATACTGACTTGGTAACTTGTTTGACACAACTAAACCTTTTTGCCACTTACTTAAGTGATTCCCAGTTTTTGATCACCTAAATCTGTGAGGAGGCAACCTGGTGTCCACACTGGTGTGTGGCTACAGAGCCGGCCAAGAAACACCATGTTAGATG